AGGCCTTGCAGGTTTCCCACGTTCGTGGTCATCAGAAAGGGGGCTCCCTGGAGGCACGGTCCAACAGATGGGCCGATTTTGCAGCCTGCGCAGGTCGTGACGTGCATAGCGTGCCTAAGGAGACAGTCACGGCCATGCGCATTGCGCATGAGTCCGTCCGCGGCGTACTCCATTGGCTTGTGCGTGCGCATAATCATCATATGTCGCATGGCCGCACGCCCACCTTGAAACGACGCAAGCTGTATACATCGAAAGTTGTTGCCCGTCCTGAGCCGTTCCTCGATCTGTCTTTGAAGCGCGTGTTTTCCAAGCAAGGTGAAGGGTTCTGGCGGTGCAGTTTTTGTATGCGAGGTGTTGAGCGACAAGCAAAGGCAGCGTTTCTCCGAGTCGGCTTGCCCCGCTCGGTGGCTTGTGGTCACTCGTGCCGATTGCCGTGCTGAGGTCTCTCCTGGTGGCGGGGTTTCCTTGGCGCCTAGTGGCGCTGACACCCAGGGGGGCCTCGTGCAGTGGGGGCCAGCACGGACTGGACTCAGGCCTCGTGGGCGTTCAGAGCAGGCCTGACTCCCTAGATGTGCCCGCCCTCTCGGATCCCGAGGCTACCCAGGGTTCGGGCCCGTCGGGGGCGGGGGCGGAGAGGCCTAAGCGTGCGATGGAGTGGGGTCCCACCGTGGACCGTCGGGTCCGATGCCGCTTGTCCGCCCCAGCTCGCGCCCGCTCACCCTCACCAGCCGCGCGCGACGTGCGCGCGCGGATTGTGTTCAGCCCAGTCGTCCAGACTCGGTCCCGAGATGCCGCTTCACTGGCGACTGCGGTCCAGGCTCTCTCCTCCTCCTCCCTTGGTCCTCCTCCTCCCAAGCGAAGGAACCTTGGGCCGCGGCCAGGCCGAGCTAAGAGTTCTGTGGCAACAGTGCCAGAAGCGCCAATGCCGTCGTGCGGCATGGTGCAGCCGTGTCACGCTCGAGGGCACTATCCCATGGTCTCGCCAGGACATGTCGTGCTCTGTGTTAGATGTGGATATTATACCACAGGCCAGGCAGGTCAGCTCCTCCTAGACTGCTCACCAGTCGTGCCCTTGGGTGAGCACGCCAGGAGGAATCGCAAGTTGTTTATGGAGAGGAAGCACCCCTCTGACGAGGGGAGACCTGGATCCAGGAGCCTTCCCCAGCCCAGGCCCTTGCAGGTCTCCGACCCTGAGGTTTCTTGGCTCAGGCTCTTGAGGGCCTAACGTCCTTTCTCGGGGGCCCGCCCCTTAAAACTCCTGGTTCGGGCTCCCTGGCTCCTGTGGCGTTTGGTCCTGGTGCCGCTTAAATTCGTTATGTTTTTGCCGCTGCTGCTGCCCTCCCCGTGATCCACTCGGTGTGGGAGGCCCGCGTTTTTGCAGCTGGAGGGGTAGGGTGACCCCTACCCCTCGTCCTCTTGCGTCGGCCTGTGCACCCGCGCGGCCGCCTCCACAGCGTCGTATCCTCCTCCTCCTCCTCCTCCTCCTCCTCCTCCCTCTCCTCCTCCTCCTCCTCTTCCTCCTCCTCCTCCTCCTTCTCCTCCTCCTCCTTCTCCTCCTTCTCCTCCTCTCTTCCTCTCCTCCTCCTCCTTCCCTCCTCCTCGCCTCCCCCTACCACCTCCTCCTCAACCTCTTCCTCCTCCTCCTCCTCCTCCTCCTCTTCCTCCTCCTCCTCCTCCCTCTCCTCCTCCTCCTCCTCCTCCTTCTCCTCCTCCTCATCCTCCTCCTTCTCCTCCTCCTCCTCCTCCTTCGCCTCCGCCTCCTTCTAGTCTCCCTCCGTCTCCTTGCCGTCTCCTCCTCATGAGGAGACGACGTACCGATACGTAGGGGCTGGAGCCGGCACATTCGACATGATCCGCATTCCAGGCCGCTGGGGTTTTGAAGGGGATCGGCAGGAGCAGGAGCAGGGGCAGGAGTCGCAGGCCCAGAGGTTGACACTAACACCAAGATCGGCGGTATGCCTCCACCGAGGGAAGAAGATCCCAATTTCGGCGATGGTGGTAATATTCTGGCTTCCAAGGTGACCGAAATATTGCCACCAACACCGAAATCTAGGATCAACTTCCCCCTGTGGAGGCGACTCCCTGTGTTGGTGCTGGTGCCCATTTCCAGGCTTCCAAAGTTCGGCACGAACGAGATTAGTACGGAAAGAGCGGGCACGAAGACCGACAGCAGATTCATTGACTTACGCCGCACCGCCGACCCCGTGGGCCGGCAGCAAGAGTGAAAGACAGAATTCGCGGAACGCGCGCGATCGCTGGGCAATCATGGGGTTTCGGCTTGTCGTACGTAGCGTGTGGGGTTCAAGGGGGGGTCTTGTAGGGGATTGGTTTGAAGTTTTTCGTGGTCTTATGCGAGTTTCTTGGGGCCTCCACGGGGCCTGTCCCAGGCCTCCTTTTCCACCTCCTGGATAGGCTCGGGGATCGTTGAGACCCAGCTGGGGTTGCGTCCGGCCAGAAGTTCGAGAGTGGATCCAGCTGTGTCGACGAGGAGCTTCCTGAAGGCCCAGAGGGGGCGGAGAACGCCCAAGAACTAGGAGCATCATGCCTCGAGCCTCGATCCACCCCGCGTTCCTTCCTCAGCGAAGGGGTGGCACTGGTCAGGGAGGTCAATCCTCATCCTGGACTTTCGGCGGTGGTCACCGGCACCAAAAACGGTTTCTGGAGGCTGAATTCGAGGAGATGCCTCGGGTGGTCGAAAGACCACGAAAATCTGTGAGACATCAGCGGCGACGGCGAAATCTTATTATTGTTGCTGTTGTTATTATTATTATTATTATTCTTATTATCAGTATTATCTTTATTTTTATTATTATTATTATTCTTCTTCTTCTTATTATTATTATTATTATTATCATTATTATTATTATTGAAAATAGTATTCATATTAAAAAGATTATGATTACTTTCCCTACCTAGGCTCCGCCTACAAGGGCTATTACCCTGTAGCTGAAAGTGGTCGGGCAGTGGAACCCGCCCCGGGCGGTTCCCCCGGTCCCCTGGGATCCAAGCAAAAGCAACAGCAAAGGTAAAAGCAGATGCGCGGTTCCCCCAGTTGCGCTCCCTGGATGCCAAGCAAGAGCAAAAGCAAAGGCAAACATGAAGGCAAAAACGAAGGCAAAACAAAAACAGAGCATAGCATAGCATAGCATAGCATAGCGCAGCATAGCGCAGCATAGCATAGCGCAGCATAGCATAGCCTAGCCCAGCATAGCATTGCGCAGCATATCGTAGCAGAGCATAGCATAACATAACATAACAAAGCATTGCACTCTTGCTGCGGATATATATATATATATATACACATACATGCATACATACACTTATATGTGTGCGCACGTATGTTCCATGCATGTTGTCCGTTTGTGGGCCATCTTGGGCCCATAGTGGGGCAGCTTGAGCCTTTAGGATCCACGAAGGTTTCGCCCGTGTGTAATACTGCATGTTTGTGTGTGCATGTGTGTGCATGCATTCAGCCTCAATTCCGTGACTCGCAGAGCCGTGATTAATGTTGTTTTCTCAGAGGTTCCAACTCCTAGGTAGGGTCGCACTGGGATAATTATTATTGTTTTCTTCCTCCTTGTCCTTCTGCTCTTCTTCTTTTCGATCGAGGTATATGCCCGCGGCAGTACACACAGACATATATATATATATATATATATATATTATATATATATATATATATTTATATTGGCCCATGCCGCCACCGCGCCTTGGTTGTCGGCCTGCGATCCTTGGTGCCTGGGTTGCGGGTTGGAAATTACATGCCTCAAGTGGTACATGGTTTTTTTGAGCTTCTTGGGGGCCTCTTGGGGGGCCTCTTGGCGCCTCTTGGGCCCCCCTCTGGGGCCGTTTTGGGGCGGAAGGCTCCTGTTGTTGGTTCAGGCTCCCCCTCTTGGGCCCCTCTCGGGGCCGTCTTGGGGCACTCTTGGGCCGTCTTGGGAGCCTCGTGGGCCGTCTTGGCGCCCTCTTGGGCCGTTTCGAGCGCCTCTTGGGAGCCTTCTGGGGCGTTTTGGGGCGGTCTTGGGGGACTGGGGCCGTCTTCAACGCTGTGAAGGCCGAAAAGTCGCGCATTATATACAGGTACGTTTTCCCATAGGAATTCGACGATTCTGGCCTCTGGGGCCCCTGTGGGGAATGCTCTTGGAGACTTCCTGGGCCGTCTGGGAGGCTTCTGGGGCCGTCTTGGGGCCATCCTGGGCGTCTGAGGCCGACCTTTGGGCGTCTCGGGGGCCTCTTGGGCCGTCGTGGGGGGCTGCTTCGAGCGCTCTGGAGCCTCGTGGGGCCTGATGGCACCTTTGCCCCCCGCCCCCGGCCGGACCAGGTTCCCGGGGGAGGGGTTTGGGGAGGGGGGAAGCATCTCACACGCCGTGACCCCAAGGGGTCGGCGGATTTTGTTCATGTCGATCAGGACTCGATGTCGGTGTCGCTGCGGGCATCGTCCATGCGAGGCAGAGGGCCGCCTGCCCAACAGCGGCCATTGCTGGTGTCGGACAACATCTGCTGTATGGCATCGCGCCCATGTTTCCGCTCGCGTCCAAAAGATTGGGGTGAGGAGCAGAAGCATGAGCAAGCAGCAGATGGATGGAGGGAGGAGCAAGTCGGGCGGAGCCAGGACAGGATGAATCGTTCCAGAGAGTTCCAGAGCGCTTTCGGAGCCTTCCCGAACGCCCTGAAATGGCCGCGGCGCCCGATAATTACATCCTCCAGATCCGCCGGATCTCAGAGATCTCCGACTTATCCCTGTCCAATTTTACCTCTGGCATGGCCTTGTTGTAACAGGAGGAGACGGGAGGGGGAGGGAGCACTTCACCAAACACCTCCGCACTAGGCCGCGGCCCCAGCTGCTGCCTGGTGATTATCCCGTTGGTGCTGCTCCCCCTGCTGCTGATCCCGCTGCTGATGAGCGCGACGACCACGTCAACCACCACGACCACAGTCACGATCCCACCGATAACGACCACGCCCCCGCCGGACACGACGACCAAGATGACGACGACCAGGGCGCCGCCGCCGCCGCCCCCGCCGCCGCCCCCGCCGCCCCCGCCCCCGCCGCCCCCACCGCCGCCTCCGCCCCCGCCCCCGCCCCCGCCGCCAACGACCACTCCGAAGAGGATCAATTGCGCCGAGGGCGCCCCGCAGTCGTGGGACGCGGCCAAGAAGGTCCAGAGGGCGTGGGGTTGCTTGTTCTCGCGTTCGCTGCCTGGCCATGCCGAGTGAGACCTCACACCCACCTTCTTCCTCTCATCTCCTCTCTACTCAAGGTTTCAACCACCTGGGGCCCCCACGTGCCACACTCCGATCCCCGAGAGAGCCCAGAAATTCTGGCAAACCGTGTGTTGTTGAGAACCTCCGGCCCCTCTGCCACGCAAAATTGTCGAGGACGCCTACGGCGAGTCACCGCCGCCCAATGCCTTTCTGGAACCGCCTGTGTGGGCAAGCGTTGAGCCACAATTTTGCCAAGCAGTTGGGCCATGTTTAGCTCAGCCGTGGTGGAAGCCGTTGGGGAAAGAGGGGGGGCACTTGAGGGAGGAAGAGGGGGAAGAAGAGGAGGAGGAGGAGGAGGAGGTCAGGAACAAAGAGGATGAGGCATCTCGGCGTCCTCTTGGGGGCCTATTGAGCTGTCCTGGCAGTCTTGGAGGGCAGGAACGACCAAAAACCTTTTTCCGATGAGCTGGCCCATTCCCCGGTGAACGGCGCGGGGCCACTCCCTGGTTGTATGTTATGAAAACTCAAAAGACCCGGAAGCTTCAAAACCTTTCTTATTAACCTCCCTGGCAGCTGCGAATGCGTTCCGTGGCAGCTTTGTAAGGCGTTCCTTGGCAGCTTCTAAGGCGCTCAGTGGCAGCATCAAAGGCGCCCTTTGGCAGTTTGTAAGGCGCTCCTTGGCAGCTTTTTAGGCGCTCCTCGGCAGCTTCTGAGGCGCTCCTTGGTAGCCTGTAAGGCGATCCTTGGCCGCTTCTGAGGCGTTCCCTGGCAGCTTATGACGCGTTCTTCGGAAGATTTTGAGTTGCTCGCTGGCAGTTTCCAAGGCGCTACCTGGCAGCTTCTAGTGCGTTGTTTGGCAGCTTTTACGGGGCTTCTTAGCAGCTTCTAAGGCGCTCTTTGGCAGCTTCTACTGCGCTGTTTGGCAGCTGACGACGCGCTCTTTGGCAGCTTATAAGTGCTCCCTGGCAGCTGCCGGTGCGTTCCGTGGCAGCTCTGCAAGGCGTTTTTGACAGCTTCTTAGACGCTCCTTGGCAGCTTCTGAGGCGCTCCTTGGCAGCTTCTAAGGCGCTCAGTGGCAGCATCTAAGGCGCCCATTGGCAGCTTCTGACGCGCTCCTTGGCAGCCTTCACGGCGCTCTTTGGCACTTTCGAAGTTGCCCCATGGCAGTCTCGAAAGCGCTCTCTGGCAGCAGTCTTCAGTTACCCCCAGGCATCTGTGGGAATCCCCTGCAATTGTTTTAGGAATGTTTAGGAACCTGTTGGAATCTTCAAGAATCCCCAGGAATATTTTTAGGATTTCTCTGGAATCTTTTGGGGTCGTTAGGAATAGCTAGAAATGCCGCCGAATCTTTAGGAGTCCGCAGAAGTCTTTACGGATCCTCAGGAATGAAAAAGCGTGTTCTGCCGCTGCTGGCAGAAAACCGGGTGGGGTCATTGGTGGTTTCAAACCCCTACCCCCTCCCGCCCCCTCGAAAACCAGGGGGGGGGTCATTGGGGGTTCCAAACCCGTCCCCCCCCCTTGATCCCCCGCCGCCGGCAAACAACTCCCCCTCTTCCCCTACTCCAGATGGGGGACCGTGGTGGGGACAGTGGTTGGGACGGTGGTGTGGATGGTGATGGGAGTGGGGACAGTGGGGCAGTGGTGGGGACAGTGAGGACGGTTGGACGGTGGTGGGGACAGTGGGGACAGTCAGACTGTGGTGGGGACAGTAGCGGGGACAGTGGGGACAGTGCGGCATTGGTGAGGGCACTGGTGGGGACAGTGGCGGGAACAGTTGAAACAGTGGGGACAGTGGGGACAGTGGGACAGTGGTGGGGACGGTGGTGGTGGGGACAGTGGGACAGTGGTAGGGACAGTGGGGAAAGTGGGACAGTGGTGGGGACTGTAGTGGTGGGACAGTGGTGGGGCGGTGGTGAGGACGGCGCTGGGAGAGTGGCACAGTGGGGACAGTGGTGGGGACAGTCGGGACACTGGGACCCTGGTGGGACAGTGGTGGGGACAGTGGGGACAGGGCGACAGTGGTGGGGGCACTGGTGGGGACAGTGGTGGGGACAGTGGGGCAGTGGTGGAGACAGTGGGACAGTGGTGGAGACAGTGGGGACCGTGCGACAGTGGTGGGGACGGTGGTGGTGGGGACAGTGCTGAGGGGACAGTGCGACAGCGGTGAGGGGACAATGGGGACAGTTGGGACAGTGGTGGTGACGGTGGTGGTGGGGACAGTGGTGAGGGCGGTGGTGAGGACAGTGGTGGGCAATTGGCAACACACAGTGGGGACGAGCGTGGACAGTGGGGACAGGGACAGTGGTGGGGACAGTGGGGACAGACAGTGGGACAGCGGCGGGGACAGTGGGGACAGTGGGACAGTGGTGGGGACAGTGGGACAGTGGCGGGGACAGTGGGGACAGTGGGACAGTGGTGGGAGCACTGGTGGGGACAGCGGGGGCAGAGGTGGGAACAGTGGGGATAGTGGAACAGAGGTGGGGACAGTGGGGACAGTGGGGGCAGAGGTGGGAGCGGTGGTGGTGGGGACAGTGCTGAGGGGACAGTGGGGACAGTGGGACAGTGGTGGGGACAGTGGGACAGTGGTGGGGACGGTGGAGGTTGGGACAACGGCGAGTACTACTACTCCTACTACTACTACTACTACTACTGACTACTAACTACTACTACTACTACTAACTACTAACTAACTACTACAACTACTACCGACTACAACAACTACTAAAGAGCTACTACTGACCACTACTATTACTACTACTACTACTACTACACTAACTACTACGAACTACTACTAACTGCTGGCTAACTACTACTACAACTACAACACCACTACTTACTACTCTACTACAACTACTACATACTACTACTACTATACTGCTACTAACTACTACTCTTACAATAACTACTAACTTAGTACTAATTACTAGTACTAGTACTATTACTACTACTACTAACAACTAATAACGAACACTACTAACTACGACTACTACTACTACTTCTACTACTACTACTACTACTACTAACTACTACTAACTACTACTACTGCTACTACTAACTACTACTACTACTACTACTGCTACAACTGCTACTACGACTATCTACTACTACTACTTCTAACTATACTTCTAGTACTCCTACTGCTACTAGTACTCCTACTGCTGGTGCTGTTGCTTAGAACTACTACTATTACCATTACGACGACTACTACTACTACTACTACTACTACTACTACGACTACTACTACTACTACTACTACTACTACTACGACTACTACCACTACTATTACTACTAGGATTACAATTATTTTCACTACTACTACGACGACGACTACTACTACTACAACTAAGACTACTACTACGACGACGACGACTACTACTACTATTACTACCACTACTTCTACTACTACTACTACTACTACTACGACTACTCCTACTACGAGTACTACTACTAGTATTATTGCTACTACTACTACTACTACTACTACTGCTGCTGCTGCCACTGCTACTACTACGACTACCATTATTACTGCTACTGCTACTGCTAGTGCTACCTCTACTACTACTACTACTACTACCACTACTACTACTACTACTACCACTACTACTACTACTACTACTACTACTACTACTACTACTACTACTATCACTGCTGCAACTGCTACTACTACTTACTAACTACTACTACAACTATTACTAACTACTACCACTGCTACTACGAACAACTACTAACTACTACTGCTAAACTAACGACTCGTACGATTATTCGACAAACTACTGCTACTACTTTCTTCTTCTACTACTACTACGTACGGTGGTCACTACAACAAATATTACTACTATACTACTACTGAACCGAACTACTACTACCTACTACTACGACCACGACGTACACTACTACTACAAACTACCACACTACAACTACTGACTAACTACTACTACTGACTATTACTAACTACTACTACTACTACTACACTATTAACTACTACCAACTACTTACTGCACTACTAGTACAACTCATAACTACTACTACTACTACAACTACTAATACTACTACTACTACTACTACGACTACTACGACACTACGAACTACTAACTACTACTACTACTAATACTACTACTACTACTACTGCCACTATTACTGCTATTACTATTATTACTGCTATTACTACTATTACTACTACTACTACTACTACTACTACTACTACTACTACTACTACTACTACTACTACTACTACTACTACTACTACTACTACTGGCGGTCTCGTGCACCACATCACCACGGCTCAACTGCCTTGGGAAGAGCGTCCATGTGGCTGCCTCATTTCCAGTATGTGGCGAGCACCTCTTCTGGGTGAAAGGGCGGGTCTGACGTGCATGCAGCGGCGGGCGCTTATCCGAGGGCAGCTGGTCCCTACGGCCCAAAGTAAAGCGACAGCGGCGGCGCAGCAGCACACGGGGCGACCCCAGTACCGCCATCTAGGCCAACTAGCGCGAGTAGGCGCGAGAAGAGGCCAGGATGGCAAGCCAAAATGGCTAGGCGCCCAGCGGCGTCGCGGCAGCACACGGGGCGACCCCAGCACCGCCAGCGAGGCCCACGAGCGCAAGTAGGCGTGAGAGGAGGCCAGGATGGCAAGCCAATTGACAAGCCAAAATGGCTAGGCGCACAGATGACCGTGCGAAGAGCGGAGGCTTAAGCAACAGGAGCCGTGGCGCGAGGGGGGCACCGCTGTGGGCACACCCGCGCTCGCTAGCGAGGCGGCGTTGCTAAAGCTGGGGCGTGAGCAGACCTACAGGTTCAGCACCTTTGAAAGTAGCAGGCTCGGTATCTTAACATGGACTCACGTAGCCCCCCGATGGCTTAGAGGCATTCGATGCTGTGGGCCTGCAGAGTTTCATCGTTCAGGCCGACTGGCCTGCTCCTTGCGCAATGGCTGCAAAGACCTGCGACGGCAGCGCTTGCACTTCTCCCCCGAGGTCACCGCTGCCGCCCGCCTGCCCTGAGGGCCCAAAGAT